AAAATCAGATTCTAGTTAGACCATGCTGGTTTTTTTTAAACCAGACTAACCAGCTTAAGTTCTAGCTTGCCCAGCTAGAACCAGCTTCATTGCCAGTTAAACTAGTTTGACTACAAGACTGACCAGATTGACCAGCTTAGTTACCAGCTCGGCCAGTTTGATTTTCATGTTGGTTTTTCCAATAGGGAAATTTTACGTCGACCGTCTTGTTTACATCCGTCGTACGCCGGAAACACAAGCCACGGATTTGCACGCCGAAGAATGTTTCGCATGTTTATTAGAAGGTGGCGCTGCCGGTCAAATGTAATCACCATCATAGTTTACACTGTTGAGCCAGCTTTACGATTCGCTAAAATGCGATAAATTTCACGTACGGTTTCACGGAACGGACCAGCTGCGCCGTTCATGATTTTGCAACCGTGTGCTCCAAAAAAGACTCGCTAAAACTCCGTCGCTATACTCCGTTTCACGTTAACTTGGCGAACTGTGAAGGCTACGGCCCCCGCGACCCAATAAGAACGTCGGAGCGAGGCACGTGACACCACGTTACGAGAGCGTTTCGTTTGTGTTGACCGTGAAGTGGTCATGCGCCTCGCTCCGAGGCTCTTATTGGGTCACGGGGGCCGCAAACCTCACACTGCACCAAGTTTTGGTGAAACGGTTTATAAAATGTAAAACAAATAGGATAACATGATGAGTAGTTTCGTAACCTTTCTCTTGTAGGGAGCGGTGACGTTGTTCGATGAATGGATCAGGAAGTATGGCGACGTGGTAGGGTAAGTGTTCATCGAAATTTAGACACTCTACCTGCCTCCAGCATTCCTCTAGAAAAATCCATGCGTTCTCGGCAGGTATACGTTATATAAGCCACAAGGTCCCGTGTGTGCGCATGTAATGTTTTTCCTAAATTAGATGTATATATCGAGGGAAATATTTTTGTTGATAATCGGGTGGTCTACAATTATTTTTTAATAAATAAGTACTGGAAACTTTACACCCTAGTTATAGTGTGTCCAGAGGTAGGGAAAAAAACATAGTCAAACTTTCCTGGGGAGCGTGCTGCTTGCGTATGACTATTGTTTTTGCTTGTTCTTTAAAACAGACAGTGAGTAATGCGTACTTTAAACGTCTCATCGTCCAGAACTAACTGTGGTACCTTCAAAAATATAGAAATATTGAGGCCAGGACAGGTGCGTCTCGAATAAGGATTGTGCAGAGCGAAATTTATTGTCTTGGCCTGTTTGATTTTGTACTCGGGAAATGCTCCCACAATCTGATCTAGACCGAGAAGAAAATGTATTTAATTATCAGCCCACCTAAAGTACCTATTAGCACCATTTCGCATTTTGGCATTAGTAAATAAACTATTTATTATATGGTCATTTGCTTCATATCTTAAATACGCAGTAATAATTGTTTTCTGGCTGTCCTAACTTTAATTTTTTTTTTAATATATGACCTTAAAATTAAGGGCTCTGTGGTGTTTCAGCTTTCGTTGTTCACTGCTAACCACTCTGTTGTGTTCTGCGACATGACCTACGTTCCCAGGCCACGCAGGCCCCGGCAGAAGCAGACCGTCCGCTCGTACTGAACAGAATCCGTGTTTACTCTCGGAGTCCAATGATTTATACACAGGACACAGGCGTTCACATACATAACTGCTTTCGCATAAAGAAAAAAACGGGCCGACAATACAGCGTGCATCGAAAAATAAATACATATTTATAGAAACAAATCTGGTAAATTGTGGTGACTTCAATGTGGGGGTGACTTCAATATAAATATGTTTTCTGACAGTGCCACGAAAAAAGAAATGGAGAGCCCTGTTGGCGTGCACGGGTGTATTAATACAATCACTAATCCCACCAGAATTAATTTGCACTCAACTGTTTTAGACTCATTTGTAACAAATTATCACCTAGATAGAGTAAAAAGTGGAGTAATTAGCTGTGACCTAAGTGACAAACTAGAAATATTTTTACAGGTGCAGTATAACCTACGTATGAAGACAATAAAGAACCAATTAATATTTATTCAAAATGTAGAAATCAACAGCCTCGACGCCTTCAGACGGGACATAGCAGCTATAAATTGGGACGCCGTGTTTGAACAAAGTACTGCCGACGATGCTTATAACACATTTCTAGAACTGGTTCTTCAATTGTATAGACATCACTTTCTGTATAAATCCATAAGACAATCCAAAAAGATTTGAAAGCCGTGAAAACTTGCGCCGTGTTCAAAAGGATTCGCACAAAAGATGCTCTATATAATCGATTTCCTAAAACCGCGATCCAGACGCTCTTCAAATTTTCAAGACTTATCGAAACAACCTAAATAAAGAACTAAAGAATGCAAAAAAAACGTGACTACTCTTCCCTTTTTTCTGCATCAAGTGGTCGCACCGACGTTATGTGGAAGCATCTAGGTTCTTTGGTTAAGGGTGCATGCTCCTGTGTCAAACACCATTGAAACGTTACGTAGAAAGTTGTTTACCTAACCGGTCAAGACTTAGCAAATGTGTTTAATGATCATTTTGTATGTCTAGGTAGTACTGTCAATGGTTCCGACTCCTGCAAATATATTCATAAGAAGGAAATCGAATTCTATTTTAGAGCCAATTACCAGCACAGACGTCAGTAATGTGATAATGCAGCCAAAAAAATAGTGCAAGTTGTGATGTTAATGAAATACACATTCGGGTCTAATTAAATATGTCATCGATAAAATTGATCCCGTGTTAATGTATATATTTAATTTTTCTTTTGAAACTGGTTATTTCCTAGACAAATGCAGGTAGCAAAGGTGTCTGTTTTATATGAAAAAAGGCGACAAAAATGAGCTAGGCAATTTTAGGCCAATTTTTATCTTGCCTGTTTTTTTCTAAAGCTGTACAGAAATTAATCTATCATCGTTTACTACACTGTTCGAACAAGTATAATCTTGTTACCTCTTCTCAATTTGGTTTCCGGAAGGATTGTTCTACTGAAGCAGCGTTACTTCCCCAAAAATAATTCATATTGAAAAAATTGTGAAAACAAAAAAATAGTGATAGGGTCATTTTTAAATTTCCCGAAAGCATTTGGATGCCTAAGTCATGATGTCTTATTAAAAAAAAACTTAAAATGTATTGTATACGTAGACAGGCCTTTTTTTACTTTTGCAAGTATATACGATATACTTGCAAACGATATTGCAAGTAGGACTTTTACAGTCCTACTTAAAATATTGTAAACAATTCGTATGAGTGAACAGTTACTCATCCACGATAAAACCCATCACCTCAGGTGTTCCGCAAGGAAGTATTTTAGGACCCTTGCTTTTTAACTTATACGTAAACGACATTGTTAACGTTAACAAGGAAGCAAAATTTGTTTACTAAGGGGATGATACTAGCACATTTTGTTCTTCCGAAACAGGTGATGACTTAATAGATATGGTGTGGTCTGTGGTTTTATCTAGATCACTGAATTTAAACTCTTGTCCAATTGAAATAGTTAATTCCTTCAAAACTCTTGGCGTATTTTTTAATGAGATCATGTCCTGGGATTGTCATATAAATTATCTTATTCCAAAGTTATGCCGAGTAATTGGGATCCTAAATCCCAACCGTTCTTTGTTGCCCACGAATGTTAAATTCTTAGTTTACAACTCTCTATTTTACTCTCACTTAACATACTGCCACCTAGTATGGGGTTCATCGACACTAACCAATATGGAAAAACTGTTTTTGTTACAAAAAAAAAGATAATTACTATTTACAAGTGATACGATTGTGCTAGTTTCAGGAAGGAAAAAATAAGGGGCTCATGATTTTTAGAAAATCTTGCAGGTTTACAGGAAAATTCACCTGAATACACCACTCGCGGCGCGGAGAAGTGGAAGATGGTCACTCAGCGAACAAACTATGGTCTCCAAATGCTTAAAATTGCCTTACCACACTTCTTAAATACTTTTTATATTAATGATGTATATTTTAACTCTAAAACATCTAAAGAATTGCATTTGTATTTTTGCTAGTGATTTGTACCTGATTTCTATTTTCTGTTTTATTTTACTCCATTAATGGGCAAAATCGCATAGTTTTGTCAATTTTAATTGCTGCTTTTTGTGTTTGTCTATTTGCTTCAGAAAACAGGCAAGTGCGTAGTTATGTATCTTTCAATTGTTGCTTTTTGTGTGATTTCTTTTTTTCGTTCCGTTGCTGCTGACCATTGTAGGGGCCCGAGGGCCAGTCAAGCTGCATTTTGCAGCTTTTTTCCACGGGTCCCACCATCACAATCGATGGAAATAAAAATGTTTATTATAATTATTAAAAGGTTAGGGCCCACTTCAATAACTGTAAATAGGTTCGCGCCGTGCGGGAACTTCCGCATGTTTCTTCACCTTGTCGCCGATTGGTATTGTCAAAAGCTGCGCCTAAAGTAACATATAAAAATAAAAGTGAACCTTACTCACGTGTGTACGCCATATTCTCGCCGGAATCGAATGCTCCTCGCTGCTTAGAAAGCAGAACGCAGCAATGCGTTCATACCGTATCCCTCCTACGAAGCATGGGCGCTTGTTTCCAATGGTTCCAAGCCTGTAGGGTAACTGGTTTCGTGCTCACGCCGCTACCAAGATGGCGGACGTAGTTTTCGGCGCGCTACTAGATGGCGCTGCATATTTCGCATATGCAACACCATCTTTTTTTTTCTTCTTTTTTTAAACTTTTCTGGCGTGTTCAACTTCGACTCTCGTTTCAAAGAGATTGCGCTGCAGAATACAATACAATACAATGCAATCTAAGGCGCATATCGTTTATTATTAGAATCAATATAACTCACCCAAACAGAAGCAATCGGAACAAAATACTAATTAGGGTAAAAACCACACTACAGCATACCGAGTAACATCTCATGAGACCACAATACCTTTTACTGGAAGGGTATGTATCAACTTAACGTGAAGTGTCTAATAATGAGGAAATTCATCTAAGGTTCTACAATGGAGCCTCGCCAATGTTGATGATCAAAAACTTGGACCTGATTCAAGCCATACAAGTAAACGATTTCTCCAACTTTCACGACAGAGGGGTAAGCCAAGCCGGTTCTCCTCATAATTCTATTCCATTTATTATGTATCGACGAATACAATAATGGACAGTTGTGTTGGTAGCTGGTAATCAATCAGCGTGCCTGACCATCACGGTAGGGTCATCTTAATTTCCTCTAGGCTTTATACATCTAAATGCATGGCTTCTGATTTTTGTATTTAAGAATATTTGACCTTAAACTCGTGAGATGTAGAAGCAGAATGTTTAACCTTAGTTTTTTATATGTATAATAAACATTGCAAATACATCTAACGAATTCCGCTGAAATAGTGTCGCTGGTTTAATGAATCTCCAGGTAAACAATACCGTCTCGCGGAAAAACAAATAATAAATATTGGCGTATGATCCTGGGTAAGAATCATAATTTCTAAAAGAAAAAAAGTATGATTAGGATATTTGAAAAACCTCGAGTCTAAGGAAAATCAAAAAAGGGACACCACACAGAGTTGTGACTCTGTGTGTGGTGTCCCCCTTTGCCCCCCCCCCCCTCCCCTTGCTCTTGAGGTTTTTCAAAGATAAATTGTCACAAGCTTGCCTGCTGTTTGAGTATTTTATCACTATCACGATTACAATGCCTGCGCGCGTCGGACAGGTATTTATTACGAAAAGTGGCGTAGCAGCTTGTTCCATTCTAAATAATTTGTGCAGCAAGCGGCGCAGTCAGCGCATATCCTTCCTGTTCGTCCGTTATAGCAGTCAACGCCTACAACTTAGAATCTAGCCTCACGGTTCGCCACCCCCCTGGAAAAATACATGAGCGTTTTGCACCACAATGATGGTTTTCTTGACAACCCTTTGGTTGTACGAAAACAAAAGTCACCGATAGCGTGTTCAGGGTAACTCTGCACTGGTGAGTGCTCTCCTTTCTTTTCTAGATGACGTCTATCATACTTCGGACGCATAAAATCACCAAGATGAATCTGCAGCACGCTTCAGGAGACCACTGGAAAAACATGCGAAAAGTCATAACGCGCCAATTCACCCCAAGCAGACTGAAAAAGGTGTGTCTCATTCTCGATTTACCTTCATCTTCCAATAATATCCGTAGGACGATTTCATCTCGAATTGTGCAAGAAAGAAGGTTGGATCTTCAAAAGAATATGGAAAAAATATATGTTGTAAAAAAACTCTTCATTAAAAGAAAATCGGAAACGGTTTTGAAAAATCGGTCAACCTTTTTTACTCTCGTGAAGAAGGAAGACCAGCGGAGCTCTCCTCGATACACTGTGTGCTTCTTCTTTGTCGTCGTCTGTTTTTCGCGCTGTTTCCTACGATGAATTCCCACCAACGTGCCAAACTATACATGCTTCTATTATAGCTGGAAATGTTGCCGCCATCTACGAGCGACGGTGGAAACCATACTGGTTGTGTGCTTGCCGCCGTCGCTTATGGATGGCAGTAGCTGTCCAGGTAGGTTTGTATCGACGTACACGGACACGATCCTGTGGAACCTAGCCCTTAACAGCTCCGCTGTAAAAAATTATTCTCTAGTTATTAATTTCCAATTAATCGAAAGGGCGGATTTTGAAATTCTGGCAATCGTCAGAGGTCGCACATTTCAGAGTCCCGCTCGCTCATATATTGGCTTCACAGTAATCAAACCTTTCCTCACCTTGTTTATACTTTCGGTAAAATTTCTTCAAAACAATTAAAAATATATTTTTATATATTTCTGAAAATACAAAGTGTCAAACCCTTTGACAAACATTTGCCGAACTTGAGTGATTTTAACTTTCGGTTCGTTCAACGTTTTGGCGTAAACAGCGCATCAAACGAAAGCTTAAAACATTATATATTTCGAAAAAAAATATAATCGGTATTGTCAATTAGGTGTAATCCATTGAAATAAACTCCTAAAAAAAAAGAGGAATCGTTAAAAGTACGATATTTAAAATAAATTTTCTAAAAAACTAAATTTTAATTTTTTTATTAAAATCTTTAAAAATATTCTTGAAACTTCGATAGAATTATAATGGGTATTTTTTTATTCGACACCTTGCGTTTAAAAACATGATATTATTTGTTTTGCTATACAATGACAATCCGGATAGTTACCGGTTTTTTTGCATGGTTATTTATTATTTGTTGAGATCTGACTTAGTGCAATTATAGACTGAAATGTCACATATATTTAAGCAGAATTGATACATGAGAGGTGCGATTAATATAAGATAGAAAGGTTTATTGCCGCAATTCAACTTTGAATACTTAAAAACAACGTAAAACGCAATTTCTCAGCAAAAACAAAATCTGAAACTTGGCACAGCTGCATTGACAAATATATAGGTAACATTTACAAGGTTTAGTAAAGACTGCTAGCGTAACAAACAATAAACAAATCCTGTCGAACCACTGACAGGTGGATCACGTCGACCTACAGAACGAGGAGACGTAAAAGTTATGTAACATGGCCGCTTCTCCCCACGCACTGAGGCTATTGACAAGCGACTAGTTCTTTTCTAATCTTAATCTTTCTTTCAAATCAAAACTTGTGCAGGAGAAATGGAAGTATGGGCACTAACACGAAAAATGCAAAACCTGAAAAACGCTCTTTGGGATCAGTTTGGTAACTTGGACAAAACTTCACTTTCACGGTTCTGCCGTATTTTTCAATCACCAAATTGACAGACCAGTCTTCGTTCTCAACCTTGGCCCACAGATGGCATGTCTGAATGCTTTTCATGGGCCTTACAGCGTTGCAGTTCTTTTTTTTTAAGTTACGGTAGTCTTCCCGACAAGTTGCATAATTTTTTAGAAGTACGATTTCAGGACCTTTTGCGGCAACCACCGGAAAAAAGTCAAAAGTCAAAACAAGTATTTATTTATTTCCGTTCGGAGAGGGGAGTTGTCCGCACATCCGATTGTTTCCTGTTCCGATGATCTGAAGTTGTGCAGGCCTGCCATGATGTTTGAGCACGGCACCCACGTCATCACATGCACTTTTGCTGTGTCCTGTAGCAGGAAAAATCCACTTGGTCTCTTCATTTCTTTTTGCCATCTCGTGCAGCTGAAGCCTATACTTCAAATGGCTTGCTGCTCCGTCAGATTCGTAGATTAGTTCTAGAAACACGGGAATATTTTTTAATCCACTCTTCAATTGCACTCCGAGCGAACAGTGCGTGTGCTGTATTATGTACGATGTCGTCACTGATGAATCCGAAGCTGTAGGTTTTCTGCTGTGCTATAGCAACGCCCAGGTGAAGATAGAAACCATTTTATTTTTTTATTGTAAACCTTGTACGGCTCGCAAAAGATCAACACTCCAGTTTTCTGCGAAGTCAAAATTCAACACGGCAGTACGCTGCTTGATGTGGCGTTTTTCGAAGCATATTGCAAGTCTCTGGGCTTGTCGCATAATCCAGTGTGGAATGTACTTCGCTGCCCATTTTCTTATTTCATTAAGAAATGCATTATCTTTCAGATGTTTTTAATGAACTCACCACATTCCCATATTGCCAGCCAGACACGTAGCCAGGATTTTGATTCGGAGGGGGGGTTGATTGATATTGATTCTAGAGTTAAACCATCTTTTTTCGGAGACGATTTACAGTTTAGCAGAAGACAATCCTCCGACGGGGTTTCGCACAGGCAGAGTTTCTTGACGTCGTCTAGACTCAATTCTTTTCCGCCTGCGTTTGATAACACCGTCAAATAAAGGACGAAGTTCGAACAATAAATCCAAACACCCTCTTCGTGCACGGGACGTTTCATGACCCATTTTGGTCCCAGGCGTAAGACTTTGTGAACCCAAGCTTAATTTCTGAATGACATGTCTTCATCTTTTAGAGCGCAGCTCTTAGGCGCCCGTTTCCGGCTCGAGCGGCGTCGCCGTCGCCGTCGGCGTAACCAAGGTCACCCAAGGTCACGTGACCCCCAAGGTCACGTGGCCCCCAAGGTCACATGACCCCTCCTAAGGTCCCGTGACCCCCCTCCCAAGGTCACCCCAAGGTCACGTGACATCCTTCCCGAGGTCCCGTGACCCCCCTCCCCGAGGTCACGTGACCCCCCTCAACCCCCCCCCCGAAGTCACGCGACACTTCCCCCCCCCCCCCAAAGTCTCGTGACCCCCTCCCCCCGAGGTCAGGTGATCCCCCCGGAGCATATTAAAGAATGTGGGGAGGAGGAGAAGGAGGAGGAGGAGGAGGGGTCTACCCTCCCCTCAGTACCCTTCCCTCCTCCTCCTCAAGAGCTGCGCTCCAATTCGGCGTTACAGAAGTTGTAAACGGCTTTCACTTTTTGTTGTACATCTCAAGGACAGACATTGTTGAAAAACATTTTGCAACGAGGTTTTTTTGTCCGTTTGAGTACAGCGTAACAACGTCTTTAGTATTGTGACTTGCCTTTGTACAGACCTTGTCATCGGACGTACAGTAGCTCAGTGCGAGGGCCACGTCATTTTTGTTTTAAATGATGGCCTTGATAGACGTCGACGATCACTCCCACACCCTTTTCAGCTTTCAACTTTCTTGATCTGTCCAGAAGTTATGTTGTGACTTCGGGAATTAGAGACATAACTTTTTTCTTCGTCAAACCGGAGGGTAACAGAGTAAGAGTTCGCCACTTTTTTGTAAAGGACGAGCTATTCACGTAAGCGCACCGTATGTTCGATGCCCACTGAGAGCAGAACGAACAAGAATTCTGCAGTTCGGGGCTCTCTAATGTGTCATAAACCTCACTAAGACGGCGGTAAGTCTTCTTCGAGAAGTCTTTTGTTGCTTGTGTTAGCTTTCTTTACACATATTTATCTCGAAGATCTTCCTTCAGCGCGAACGAAAGTTTCAACGATGTCACACTTACGTTTGCTGCACTGATAACTTCCTTCGCGTCTTTGATCATGGCTTGCTCCTCCTCAACTGCTGCGTCGCTCAGTGAAAGTCTCCTCTGCTCCTTGACGAAGTCTTGCAGGTCACTCTTGAACATTGCAAAGCAGTTCTTGCAAGTTGCAAATGCTGTCGTCCTTGTTGACAGATGCCGCTTCTTCCGTTGGAAGTAGCTGCTTTAGCAATTCGAAGTCCAAATCAGACATTTTGCGGAAATTGCGCTAGTAATCTATTTTACGTTTGTGTCTGGCATAATCACGGCAAACATTCTACATTCGCTGAAGGTACCTGCCGTAGTCCCTTCTTCGGTGCCAGAAATGACCAGCTGAGCTGACTGCGTGACTGAGCTTTGAGAAAAGAAAAAAAGCGGTATGTTTTTGGCTCTGAGCTGCCGGAAGGCCATCGCCAGCATGACCAGCTACGGATGTGGAGACACATAGTGAGGAAAGAGAAGACCGTGTCATTCTACTCCGTCCAGAATGGCCACAAGGTCACCACCGGTGGGGAGAAAAGGGGGCTAAAACGGATAAGAGGTAAAAATGGGAAGCCGCTGCAACATCAGCGGGTAGGCCCGCCATTAGATGATTAGAAGTCTTATAACTTCACCAAGTCAGCCGCCTCTCACCGACTCGCAGCTGTTGTAATATGAGAAAGCAACTTTGCTTGTGCAGTGTCCGCGAGGGGCTGTCGGTGCCCTAGGCATCGGTCAGCAAATGACCTCAGCAAAGGGACAGCGGGATAACACCGTCACGCTAAACAAAATTAATGTAAATGCCCACCTATATGTGTTATGTTGGCGGAGAAAAGAACCAGGCACGACTACGATTGTCTGTCTTAGTGCCTGTTGAACCGCACCCTTTAATCTCGTCGTTCTCTACCAGTCGTCGCTCAAGCGCTAGCCGGTAGGTGGCAGGATGCTTCATACAACATCTCCCGGACTGTACCGCTGTGCTGGTAGTAAGCAACAACCACTCTTGCTGTGGGCATGAAGGGTATCTTGGCTTTCTTGTGATGGCGAGTCAGTCACGTGGGTTTTATCGGCGTATAGTACGAGATGACTGAAGAAACCCTTCAGCGGAGCGAGAAGAAGACAAGGACGTTGGGGGACTGGGCCCGAGCGCGAGCTACATTTTCTATCGGGCATTTTCTTTTTGAACACGGAAGTGTGAGTAACACAGTTA